GGCTGGACCGATTTTGACGGGACTTTCACTGGCAGATAGCTGATGTAATAAAAAGTAACTTAGGCTACTTTTATTTAGAAAAAAATATAGGGTCACACGAAAAAAAATTAAAACCGATGAAAAATTTAAAAATATCCGTTTCAAATAGGGAAGTTGTATACATACCCTAGGGACGAAACCGAGCAAAGCAAGGGTGAGTCACTAGTATTACTATAATAGTAGATGTCGAAAAATAACGCCAACTAGGAGCATTACTGACGTGCGCCATTTGAGCCAATAGAGTTAGAGCCAACCTGTGAAATTTTTAGGTATAATACCATTAACGTACGATAGGTAGCGCGTTAGTCAATTCGAATAATATGAATCTTTAAGTCAGAACACATCAGATACAACAATAATTTCTGAGTCTACGATATACTCGTATATAACTGTGTAAGTTTACAGCCAAACAAGGCAGGGTGAGATGCTGATAATAAAGATAGAAGAAATTAAGTACATTTATTTGTTTTACATTTATTTTTATTTGTGATTTTTTAAATTAAAATATTATAAATTATTCTTAACTTGAAAAACCTACCAGATGTTGGGAGCTAGAGTATGGCTAAGGAAAACGTGTCCTGGAGTTTTCTTAAAAGTTTTGATATGGCAACATTATTAAGCTGTCAAAGGCACGTCAAACTTCAAAGTCTCTGGTTGCTCTGGTTTTAAGCGTTGTTAATAACTGTATATATTTTTGTGCATAAACTAATGGGTGCTTACATATAACGTGAAACGTGTATACTAGTAGGTATTAGATTCGAGTTATTTACAATAAATTGATAAAAATATGTATCAAATTAAGAAACAACTTAACGATTACGTAATTTTGAAGCACGGCTCGGACATTTTCTTTCGTAAAGTATGATGTTGTATGAATTAGAAAACATTCAGAATTTCTAAAGACGTGGTGTGTTCCTTAAATTAGGAATGAAGTTCGCAAACAACTATTATACAAATTAATTGTCGTAAATACAAAAAATACTCAGGTGTCAAAACATTTTTCTCTTACTATAGTTAGTAATACCATATAAACTTTTTTGCTTTCGTTAGCCAGACTCTATGCCCAAGCTCTCTATTTCTAATTTATATGGTGTTAAGTCAATTTTTTGTAAGATTGATTGTTCGTGCTAGCTTTAACACTTGTGTATTTACAATTTTACGTATATTGTTTATGATCCCCAAATATGTGTAATTTAGAATACTGAAGCCTAATCATTCTTATCTAAAAAAAATCGTGCCATAATTAACACAATTTTTATACACACAGTATCCCGTGGAACAATTTAAACAACTTGCTAACGGATGGCATCTTAAATGCCTATGAAAATAGTTGTCCTGTTAGGGAACACAAGGTTAACACCAATACTCCGTGGTGGAACAAAAAGTTAGAACGACTTAGAGTATCCATACGTCGCTTATTTAATCAGGCCACTACACCGTATGGGTGGGAACTGTATAAGAAGGCTCTGACTAAATACCATAAAGAGATCAGAAAAGCTAAAAGAGCATCTTGGAAACGATCCTATGAGAATATCGCTCAAACACATAAAGGAGCGAGAATCCACAAGGTCCTTGCCAAGACACCAAATATCTTTCTTGGCTTCTTAAAAAAGCGAGACAATTCCTTCACGACCACAGAGATGGAGACGCTGGAACTGTTAAGAGCAACCCATTTCCCAGGATCGTAGCCTGTCTCCGGCAGTAAATCAAACCCAAAGGAAAACTACATCCACAGGGCAAATAGTTGCAACTGGAAGATGGCCAACACCATTTTTAGGCCTAACCAGATTAGATGGGCTTTGAAAAAATTCAAACTATTTAAATCAGCAGGGGAAGACGGAATTTTTCCAGTCCTACTTCAACAGGGCATGGAACTCCTTATCCCGCATCTGGTAAAACTATTTAGAGCAAGCTTTGCTTGGGGCATTATACCAGAACAATGGACTAAGGTCAAGGTTACCTTTATACCGAAGATCGGTAAAAACGACTACTCTCAGCTCAAATCCTTTAGACCTATTAGTCTTACTTCTTTCCTACTAAAAACAATGGAAAAAGTAATCGATCAGCACATTAGAACAAGGTATCTTGTGGCTAGACCACTCTCCTGCAATCAACATGCTTACCAAAAGGGTAAATTCACAGAATCTGCCTTAGTAGCTCTGATCAACAAGGCAGAAAGGTCCCTAGAGGAGAAGCAGACAGCTCTATGTGCGTTTTTGGACATTGAGGGGGCCTTTGACAACACACCTACGGCAACCATCCTGAAAGGATTAAATGCAAAAGGTGTTGATGTCACAACCACCAGATGGGTGGAATAATATATGCTCTCCAACCGATGTGCGAAAGTTACGCTAAACGAACACTCGCACAACTTTTACACTACCAGAGGCTGTCCGCAAGGAAGAGTACTTTCACCCCTATTATGGACACTAGCTGTAGACCTACTACTTGTAATAATGGCGGATCTGGACTACGATACACAAGGCTATGCAGATGACCTTGTTGTAGTAGTAAGAGGTCCCTGCCTTAACACAATTTCCACCAGGTTACAAGGGGCTTTCAAAACCATCACAAGATGGTGTAGAGAAAATGAATTATTAATAAACCCGGATAAAACAGTTATTGTACCATTCACCAGAAAAAGGAAGCTTGAAAGGCTGACTGAACTCAGACTCAATGGCAAAACCCTTAACCTATCAAATGAGGTAAAGTACCTTGGAGTCACTATTGATCAAAAGTTGACCTGGAACTCTCACCTCAACAACATTATAAAAAAAGCCAAAATGGCCCTTTGGATATGTTGTCGAATGGCTGGAGCAAAGTGGGGTCTCAAACCCAAAATGGCTCTCTGGATGTACACCGCTGTGGTAAGGCCGATCATAACATATGCCTCAGTCGTATGGTGTAACAAAACCAAACAAAAGACAACTATAAGTAAACTAGACAGTGTGCAACGGATGGCATGTCTAATTATCACGGGACTTCTCTTTCATTCGGCACCAGGAGACGCTCTAAATGCTTTGTTGGACATAGCTCCGCTATATCTCCACGTGCAAAAAGAAGCTAAATCCTGCCTCTACAGGCTCTGTACACAATCGAATGTAAGGTTGCAATCGCAATATATGAACAGACTCAAAGAGTTGGCATTCGAACATAAAACTCTAAAAATGCCAGTGGATGGCATGAGCACAGAGTTTAACTTCACAAAACAGTACCAAATAGATCTTCCCAACCGGGACATGTGGCTAAAATACCAAGAGTCTCACAAAAAGGGCAGTCATGTTTGGTTTACAGACGAATCCAAGAAAGGATCTGATGTAGGGTGCGGTATCTATGGCCTTAAGCCTAGATTTAACATGAGTATCAATCTGGGCAAAGAGGCCACCATCTTTCAAGCAGAGGTCTTCACCATTAACAAATGTGCTGAAGTCATCCTGGAAAGAAAGCTTAAGAACCAAAATATCTACATCAACTCACATAGCCAAGCAGCACTTTTGGCTATAGATTCTCTTGAGACCAACTCTAAGTTGGTCAAAAACTTTATGGATAATCTGAATGTCGTGGGCACATCCAACAGAGTTACCCTCAGATGGGTCCCGGGTCACTCAGGTATAGACAGGAATGAAAAGGCTGATGTTTTGGCAAGAAGGGGCGCTGAAACCCCAGAATTTGGCCCCGAGCCATTTTGTGGTATTGCCAAACAACATGCCTATTCAATTCTCAAAAACCACTGCAATCTCAAAGCACTACAAGAGTGGCAATCCACTTCTGGACAAACATACTCTAAAGCGCTAATTAAGGGATATCGCAAAACCTTTACAAAACAGTTGCTTCAACTCAACAAGTATAAAACCAGTGCGGTAAACAGAATACTTACTGGTCACTGCAAACTCAATAAATATATGTTTACCCTCGGCCTCAGTCAGACCGCAATGTGCAGACTATGCCATGAGACAGAGGAAACTGCTATGCACATCCTCTGCTCGTGCGGTCCACTCATGCACCGCAGAAGTATCTATCTAGGGCAGCATATTATGCCACCAGAAGAGATACAGATGCTCCCCGCTCAGAAAATCTGGAAGTTCCTGGAGTCAACAGGACTAAGCGGAGAACTTTAATTCATTCCAAAGGGAGCTACAATGGACCATAACTGGTCGACGTAGCTAGGGCCGACCTCGGCACCACACCCAAAAAAAAAAATCCCGTGGAATTGTGAATATGTCTGTTTACTTTTTTTGATCAAAATCCGTCTAGTAGTATTTATGTGAAACGCTTGCAAATTAAAACAGACACAGAGAAAGCAGACCGACATTTTTAACCGACTTCCAAAAAGGAGGAGGCTCTCAATTAGTTGGAGTCTTTTTTTATGTATGTTCACTGATTACTCGAAGACGCCTGAACCGATTTAGATTTTTTTTTGTTTCAAAGGGTATACTTCCCAGGTGGTCCCATATAAATTTTATCGAAATTAGTCAAGCGGCTTTTTTTTAAATCAACAAATAATATTTTTTTTAAAATAGATTATTTAATCGAATATGTTATTAAAAAACTTTCTTCTAACAAATTACCTGCTTATTACGTCTACACTAAAATTGGACAAATAAAAACTTGAAAAAAAAACCGACTTCCGGACACTAAAATGTAAAAAATAACTAAGGGGGGGTTTTCATTTAGAATAGATACCTAATCAGATATTTTCGAAGTCGGTGCCATGCCTGTAAGTCGTTTTTTTTTAAGGTTTTTAAATTGCTTGGCTTGTTATGTATATCGAAGATTGTTTCAATCGGAATTTTAAAAAATATTTAAATGCACAGACACGACCACTCTACTATTTTTTTATAACTATAAATTATAATAATAGATTATCGATAAGAATCGATAGCAATAGATATAAATTGGGGGCGGATAACTCATTCCTTCCATACAAACTCATATCGTTGAGTGAAAAGTTAACATCTACGATGTTTTTTATTTTAATTGTATTAGTGTGTCTTATAACATGTTTATTATTGATTGATGACTTCCTGAAGAAATGTGGGTCTCGCTGGAAAAGGTTTGCCGAATTTCCTGGCGACACACCTTTACCCATAATTGGAAATACCTTTCAAGTCGGTTTCGATGCTGATGGTAATGTTTCCTATATGTACAATATATATTTACGATTATTTATTTATTAATTAAATTCATTAATGTAATTTGATATAAAATTATAATTTTGTTTGTAAGCTACCTCTTATAATATCTTTTTATAATCTTTAATATAAAAATCTAAATTAAGCATACGTAAACAATGAAAATTTTAATTTTTATAACATAATGATTTAAATTTATACTAAAAAATAAAAATAAGCGATAATACTTTCTTAGATTTACGTAAATATTTGACAGTTTAAATAAAACTATCTTTTCGGATTTTTCGCGGATTTATTTGAATTTTTGTTTCCCGACGTTTCGAATGCTTTACAGCAATCATGGTCTCGAACGTATATTTGTTACAGACAGCCTACCCACAATATGACAAAATGAAAAATTGCACCAAAGTACGTTACAATATTTTTGCATAACAGGATGGTAGTACCCTCGTACTACAATCGTCATGGGATCCTGTTATTAATATAATAAAATCAAATAATAAATCTAAACATAACAGACATGTAGATGTAGTAAGTTCTTACTGTGTGGATCAAAATGACAGCATTCCAGATTAATATTTTTCATTTGTAAAAGTATATAGAATAGTGTTGCTTAGTAATTTGTGTTTTTAAATAATAGTAAACTAAATCAAAATTATTATTAATTAATTTTTACTTTTTAAATTACACATAGAACAAATATGTGGCTTAAATAATTATTAATATTATATTTTTTCTTTATGGTTATAAATATAATAATGGCGACACTAAATATACATTACTAATTAATATTTTTATAATTGTAATAATTATAATAATAATAAAAATAAATAAATAATATTCCATAAAACTAATTAAAATTATAAAAATGTTTAATGTTAAAAAATATTGTAAGGTACTTTGGTGCAATTTTTCATTTTGTTATATTGTGGGTAGGCTGTCTGTAACAACTATATCTTGGAGACATGTAACACCTCAGTCACTCCCGTGACCATGATTGCTGTAAAGCATTCGAAACGTCGGGAACAAAAAATCCAAATAAATCCGCGAAGAAATCCGAAAAGATAGTTTTATTTAAAAATAAGCGATGTGAAGTAAAGTACACATGCATTTCTCTCTGTTTTGAGTTGTAAAATACATTAGTCTTTTAAATATAATTGCAATATATGACTAAAAATATGTAATTATTATAAATTAATTGTAGAGGCAACTGAAAAATTCATGGGCATGTGGGAGAGGTATGGCAAGCAAAATTTCCGCGTTGTTATTGGAGCCCAACAATGGGTAATGGTTTCCGATCCCGATGACATTAAGGTAATTTTATCATTCCTTCTTTAAAATGAACATTTTTATATTATTCTTAGGCGCAAAACCCATAAAAAGTAATAAAAAATCACTATAGCTTACCAATTTTTTTTTCTACACGACATGGAAAGAAAAATAAATAAAGATATATAACCTAAGGATTTAAAATATGAAAACAGAAAATATTAGACATCAAAAAAAAAAGTAATACCATATTTTAAACAAAACTTCTGGTTGATAATTATAATTTATCAATGAGAAGGTATTGTTTACATATACATAGGTGTATATTTTTTAAATAATAAAGAAAAAAAATAAGCTAAGGAAAAATACCATCTAATTCAAAAGAATTTTTTTTTTGATAATATGGTATTTTTTTTTAATTCTTCTTCTTCTAGTAAATGTTAATTACATGAGCAAATGTTTGAAAAATCATAATTAAAAAATATATTTTTAAAACACTGTTGTTCAATCATATATGATTATTAATTAAATTATATTGAAAATTATGACGGTAAGGAATCTTTATTTTAGACCTTACTCAACGATAGCTATGAACTGGGCAAACCATTAGAAAGAAATGCTGCTATAACTCCGTTCTTTGGCAACTCTGTATCAACTTCTGAAGGTAAAAAAATTATCAATATTTAACCTAAGATCAGAAAAAATGGATTTTTTCTGCTTTTTATGCCTTTTAATTCAATGAATTTTTATATCGAACTTAAACACTGAACTAAGGTTTACTTACAAAAAATTGTGAGTATTAGTCACCATCCTAATTAGACAAACTCCTATGAAAAACTAGACATGTTATTTTGAAAGTTTGCTTTTACAACAATGTGCAATATGCGGTCAGCGGTCGTCAGCGGCAGACAAACAAAGCTCGCGTTATCGCGTTATGTTGTGGTGCGCCGCTGACACGTTTCCGAAAATATGCCACTTTAATACAAATTACCTGTATACAATATTTCATAATATGATTAATATAAAAGATTACTATCTCATAGTCCTACGAAGAAAAAAAAAATCTTTGATGTTAAATGGAATTTTGAAACTGTTTCAACGCCAACTCGTATATTGTTTAAATATGTCATTTCAAATAAATTATATATAATAAATCCCAAACATAAAATGTATATATGTATATTATTCTATACATAAACCATTAAGTGGCCATTCTAAGTCCTATTTAATATTTCAGGTGAAAGATGGAAGTTTGTTCGAAGATTGGTGACGCCATGTTTTCACCTGAAGAACATAGAACGGGCTATAGATGATGTTAATAAACACCAAGAGCTCTTTGATATCTTAGACACATTTGAAGGCAAAGGACCTGTGAATGTGTACTATTATTTAAGACCCTACATGCTCGATATACTAAAAAGTAAGTTTTAATTTTTAAACTACATGAATACTTACTACTCTTATATGATACATAGGTTTATTTAAATATTTCTATATTTTTAGCTAGTCTTTTTGGAGTTGACAGTCATTTTCTTAAAGACCCCGACCATCCTTATGTAGTAGCGGTTGCAAAGTAAGTATATATTAGGTAATTCATATAAATAATACTATGTACTTAAGTATTATAATATAATATTTTTATTTACCTAATACTTTTCATTTGTAATATTTGATGTTAGTACTAACCTATAACTTTTCCTTAGGATTATCCGGATTTTAACATACAATATTTTCTCGTATTGGAGAAATATTAAAATTATATTTAGATGGACTTCCATATACGCAGAAATGCAGGACATAATAAAGACGATAACAAAAGAAAGTACACATGTATGTATCGAGTATTTATAAAGAAAATAGCTATCACCTCACATCGTCATTCATCAAAAAAATATTAATTGGTCCTACTATAATTGTTCGATTCGACGACTTTTTCTGTGTAAAATCTTTGTAAAAGTTGGCGTGCATTATTTATTAAAAAAGTCGCAGTTTTTATTTACAAACCGACGATAATCAGGCGAATAACATTATGTTATATATCGATTACATATCAAATATTAAATATACAATAAATTACATTAAAATATAATAATATTAACATTGCGTTGATAATTTTGTCTGCATTGAATATGTAAAAAAATAACAATTCAATAGTGTCAAATAGGATTTATAATTCTAAGTGATTATAACAAATTTTTCAGATGATTGCAGATAGAAGAAAAAAATTAGACACAATGCTTCAAGAATTTAAAAATAATAATAAAAATGTTGATATAAGTGACGATACTTTCATTGAAAATAAACTTTCGGAGGGATATTTGTTAGACAGACTTCTACTGACCAAGACACCTAGCGGTGAAATATTAAACGATGATATCATTAATGAAGAAATAAGGCTGATGTTATTTACTGTAAGTGCAAATTTCGAAAAATAATTTAATATTACAACATTTGTATTTATCATCGGCTTATAATATGAATTATAAGCTCATGAAATTATCAATTAATGATAAGTACATAGCGTTATCGTCTTAATTTTTACTTATTACAAAATTAGTCTTACAAAATATTTAATAACACTGTTTAACATTAGACATCAACTTATTGCTACTCTTTTATTTTAGGGACATTATACTACATCAATGACATTAAGTCATACAATGTATCTCTTAGCAAAACATCCGGAAGTACAACAGAAAGTTCTTGAAGAACAGGAATCGATATTAGGAAAAGATTTAAACAATAAAGCAACAATGCAAGAATTAAACCAAATGAGATACCTTGAATCGGTAATTAAGGAATGCATGCGCACTATTCCAACAGTTTCAAGAGTTGGAAGGTACCTTAAAAAAGACATGGCTTTTCAAGGTAACTAATAAAAACATAGAATTATTTTTCAACCACAGAGATATTTATTAATGTTAATTGACTAGCGGCTCACCCTCGCTTCGCTCGGGTTCGTCGCTAGGTACGTTTTCCATAGATATAAATAGTTATTAGCCAGCGTTAGACATATAAATTTAAAAGTTTTTTCGTTAATTTTTCATTTTTTCTCTTTATTAAAACCTTCGGTGGATCTTTAGGAATATACGAAAAAAAATTTAGCCGAATTGGTCCAGCCAAGCTTGAGTTATGCTCTTACCAACATTCATTTTTATTTATATATATTGAAATAACAAGTATTCAATGTAAACACTATAACCTTACATGGTGTTATTTATCTTATTTAAATTATAATTTTAATAATAAAGAATATGTATATATATCATTTTAGATGGAAAAGTCGCACCTGCGGGAACAACAGCGATAATTTTCATTGACGCTTTGTCAAGAAATCCAAAAGCTTTCGAAGAACCAGAAAAGTTTAAACCCGAGCGATTTTCGGAGTCAGTGCATCCGTTTGCTTTTATACCTTTTAGTGCTGGTCCGAGAAACTGCGTAGGTAAGCACATCAAGACATTATTTTCAAACAACGCTCATTCTAAATCTGACTTTATGAAAATGTCATAATAATGTCCTTCTGGCCGACTGTTATGGCTGGATAGATTTTAAAAGTTTTTTTTTTTCAATTAACCTACACACAAAAAACATGTACTAGAACTCAATTCACACTAAAGTCAGTTAAAAACAACTCTTAACTATCTGCATTTATTATTCTAGCTTTCCGATATGCCTGGCTGGTAATGAAGGTGTCATTATCTAACATTATAAGAAGATACGAGATTCTCCCCGGTGGTCCCGGTACAGAGCCAAAATTCGCATTTCGCGTAATAACAGAGTCCACAAATGGAATGAAGCTTCATTTAAAGAGGCGATATGTGTCGGAGACATAAGTGATAATAAAATCTTATCTACCCATAAATTAATGAAGAACAAATTAATATGGTGTTAGATTACTTTAATAGGGATAGATATACTAAGTAATTTAAGATAAATCATTTAAATCTTCTTGTGGCTCATAATATCTTGCAAGTATCCATAATATGAGAAACATAAACTGTATATAATTGCATTATAATAAAAAAATAGAAATTAATACTTATGTTGTTTTATTAAGCGACACACGAGTGGAAGCTTGCACGTGTAGTGTGTACGTTGTTAAGTAACTTTTCTCAATATTGTAATATCCTCTAGGAACAACTAGTGCTAGGATAAAAGGTATCCTGTTCCACTACTGTCACTACTTTCCTGCTAAAAAGAAGAGCAAACCATCATACTACAAAAATATATATAATATAAATATAAATAATATTTAAGTTTTAAGATTATAGTATAGATTTCTCATGGATGAGATATTTTTACACAGTAAAAAGTATCCTAGATGTTGACTCGGATTGTATTGATTTATCCGTTGTTATAGCTTGTTAGTTATTATCTTATTAAATTTATCCTGTTGACCCAGTTAGAATTTTATTATATGTATAGACTACTACTACTAGGTTAGTTCCCCATACAAACTTTCATCCCCACTTTCATCCCCTTAATGGATGATTTCCCGGATAAAAAGTATCCTATGTACTTCCCAGGGTCTCAAACTATCTTCTTACTAAATTTCATCTAAATCAGTTCAGTAGTTCGGTGTTCTTTGCTTTATATAGGCTGGCACCGACTTCGAAAATATTTGATTATGTATGTATAGTAAATGAAAACTACCAATCAGTTATTTTTTACTTTTTAGTGTTTGTTTTGGACTCGGTTTTTATTTTTTTGTTAAAAAGTTTTTATTCTGGAAAATATCTATTATCAACTTTTATGAGAGTACCTTCAAATGGATCTTACTTCGAGGTATATCTTATAATGGAAGAATGATTCTACTATAAAAGGTTACCCGTTATATAATTATATAAAAATCACTTCAGTACATCTTCTTTTTTTTGAACCAGCTTGCTGATTAAAACTGTAATAAATCAAAACACTATATTCCTCTCATATTATATTTGTGTGCTACATATAAATAATTTACCCCATTTATCTGTAGTATTTCATAAATACCAATAAAAATGTTTAAGCAGCTTTGACCTACAGTTATATTTGTATAGTTATTAAAGCAAATTTTAAAGCAACTGCTTTAAAATTGTTATTTTTAGTAAAGACTAGCATTGCCTGCGACTCCGCTCGCGTTCAGACGACCAAAAACCAAATTCTTAGGTTTTACGTATCAATATATACCTGTTTAATTAATATTTTTTTATATATTGTTATTAATATATCAAGTTAAAGTAAGGTAGCAGATAAGATAGTGTCGGCAATTTGCTTATAGCTTATTTTTGTAGCATATGCTCATTAGTTTTTTGATCATTTCGTAAATTAATAAGGCAGAGTCCGTTGCTAGTCCGACAATTCTAATAGATGCTCTCTTGCACAGGTTTGTGCGGAGTCTCTGTAGTAAACATTACAATATTAATGTTTGAAATATTTTTTATTATTATTTTTTATTTGATAGTCCAGTTTTAAGCGCGTTACCGCAAAAAGTACTGGCGACAAAAAGTCGCTGTGGTCCTTAATACAAGGGAGAGAGGTGTGTGAAGTACTGGCACTCGGTGTTAGTTTTTACAGCAACGCTAAAGAAAATAAATGAGAATATTAATTTAAAAGTGCAGAACTTTTGGAACTGAATTTTAAACGGAAGTTTTAAAACTCAAATTACTATCGTTATAAGTACACTAGCGACTCACCCTCGCTCCGCTCGGGTTCTTCCCTAGTGAAAATTTAGGTTTGTAAGTATTTTTAATGCCGAATCATAACAAAAATAAAAAAAAATATTTGTTCAACAAATTAAATTTTTTTTGGGGTGGACCACTTAGGGGTATGAAAAATAGTTTATATCCTATTCTCAGACCTACTGAATATACACACAAAATTTCATAAGAATCGGTCAACCCGTTTCGGAGAAATTTTGTTACAAGCACTGTGACACGAGAATTTTATATATTAGAGATATGCAACAATAGAACACTTATTTTTAACACGACCATTCTTAGTAGCATTATAACGAAGAATAATAATAGAAGTTTAATGTAAATAACACAAAAATCAATAAAATGTCTACCTTGTTTTTTGTTGTTTTTTTAATATTGTTTTCTACGAATAGGTATAAAAAAATTCTAGCGAGTGTAGGATGACATTATTAAAACTTCGAGAGATTCCTTGTATATTATTACTTATATTCAGTACTTTTTCTGTCCATGTGGAAGCTACCACCAGTTCGGAAAGCATTTCTGCTGAGAAGAGCCGGTGATAAACTCAACAGTTGCTCTTTTAATAAATGAGTTACATAATTTATAATAATTATTTACAATATTATACAGATAATTCAAGACTACTGACTAGTCACTACAAGGAGGTACCGACATCTCTTTGCAAAAACGCGGGAAAACAAATGAATAGGCTGTGTCCTGAGTGACGGCGCACCGCGTACGGCGGATTGCGGAGCGGATTTACACGCCGCTATCTGTCCGTAGTGCACGCGGGAAAGTTGAAGCGTGCGCACGTGTTTAGTGTTGTGTTTGTTTCACTTTGGTTTTAATAATGTCGATATTAAGCTTCGCTTACAATATTTAGAAAGAAACAGTTTCTTCGAAGATATTTTTTTTACCGATGATATTATTTTTTTTATGAAAAAAAGAAAACACCAAAAAGAAACAGCAAAAAGAAGCGGTGAATGCGTTAGACAATGTGAAGAATTAAAACTAACCCGGAGAAATATTAAAAAAAAATTTTCAGCCATTAAATTCATGTTCCATGCTGGCAAACGCTAATATAACATAAAGCTGGCTTTACAAGCCTTTTATTTTTATGGTCAGGGTACCCGGACATCAAAATGAAAGACTTTTCCATCAAAAAAATCAAAACCTTCAGCAGGAAAGTCTTCATTCAAATTGCAACATTTCACTTCACTATCCGCGAGTAAAAATCAAAATACGCGTATTGATGAGCGCATCCGCCAGTAGAATGAGCAGTCAAATATGCGCGCCCGCTCGCACTCCGGACACAAACACACACAAATATGTCGAACATTTGTTTAATGCGCCGTTCATTTCGCCTGCGTGGTGCACCGTCACTCAGGATACAGCCTCCGCGTTCTTTTTACTTTTTTAAGTACATTCCTATCGGCCAAGGTCACATAACTAGTATTTCAAGTTTCAGTATTTCAAGCTTGCAATTTTTTTTACATTTTTAGGTATTCGCTGCGAGCTAGCGTCACTTCCAAATCGTCAGTCTAACTAAGAAAAGAGAGCATCTGTAGAGTTCACTGCACACCCCCTCTGAAAATCTGACGCTCTCGAATAATAATTTTTTACCCCTCTCATATGGCAACCTCCACCACAAAAATCGGCAGATCAATATATATTTTATATCAAGAGACATGTTGGAGCATGAAAAATATCAATATCTGACACGCTTGAGTATTTCCATGTCATTATTTTTTTACAATTTTATAAATCTCTAGAGGCTTCCCCCACCGCTTAAAGTTGAAACATTATGAAACTATTTATTCTTCCTATCATCTAATCTATTAAATCTAATAGGTTTCCGCGACGCTCGAGAAAATCCACATTTAGTATCATGGGCTCTCCTACTATAAACAACAAAGTAATAAAATGTATTTTCCATTAAAACGCCCATATATAAAAATGCAACCTTACACGAGCTATGCTATTAAATAGAATACGTAATTAAAAAGTATGTTAGGTAATTATTTCTCACAATAGCATGCGAAAGATATAAATTAGAGGATAAATTTAATTCCTTTCATATAAGCTTTGCTCGTCAGTGATGAAAGTTCATTTAAAAGATGTTTTTAATTTTGTTACTGTTTCTTGTATCTTGTTTATTATTATTTGATGACTATGTGAAGAAACGTAAGCTTTGCTGGAAAATGGTTTCAAAATTTCCTGGCGACACATCTTTACCTCTATTGGGAAATATTTTTCAAGTCGGATTCAATGCTGATGGTAATGTTTTTTATAAAAATATATATTTATAGCTTAGAGTTATCAATTACTGTATTATAGATATCCATATTATACTTTTAATATTATAAATGTGAAAGTGTCTTTGTTTGTCTGTCTTTCTTTCACGTCGAAACGGCTTGGCGGATTGGCGTGATTTTTTGTGTGGAGATAGTTGGAGGGCTAGAGAGTGACATAGGCTACTTTTTACCGCGGGAGATTATCTCTTTCCCACGGGAAAACCGGGAAGCCGAGGGTTCTGCTAGTATTTATATAAGCATGAACTTATTACTATCACGTATTGAATGAAATATTTAGATATATTATTTATTTAGTACAACGGATTCTCATCTCTTAGCATATTTTTATGATCCAACTAGCGGCTCAACCTCGCTTTGCTCGGGTTCGCCTCTAGGAACACAAAAACAAACCTATCCCACGGGAACCGCACATTTTTCTATTATTATTCTATCCTATGTGTTATTCCAGCCTATAATCTATCTCTGTGCCAAATTTCACCTAGATCCACCGTTCTGGCGTGAAAGTGTCACAAACATCCATACATTCTAAAATGTTATGTTAATAAAATAAATGTAACTTCCATATTTAAAAGAGCAACTGTTGAGTTTCTCGCAGGTTCTTTTCGGCAGAACTGCTTTCCGAGCCGGTGGTAGCTTCCTCACGGACTGACTACACTGACGCTTTCATTAAATTGACGATTCAAAAGTACTTGTAATAAGTCTAATTGAATAAAGTTTATTTCATTTCATTTCATTCATATTCACAAACTTTCACATTTATATTATTTATTTAGTACTAGCATTGCCCGCGGCTCCGCCCGCGTTCAGATGATCAAAAACCAAATTCTTAGATTTTACATATTAGTATACTCATACAATGCAGTTTTTTTATTTTTTCTGAAAATTAAATGAGATATTTTCCGCGATCAAAAGTATCTTATATGTTGACCCGGATAACCAGCTACCATCGTACCGAATTTTATCAAATTCCCTCCTGTGGTTTTCCCGTGATGCGATAACAAACAGACAGACAGACAAAAATTCTAAAAACTATAGATTCGGCCCCGATATCGATAATAATGTGTATTTCAATAAGGTTTTCCAAAAAATATTTAATGTACAGATTCGGCTTAGTTACAATTTTATTATATGTATAGATAAATTACAATATTAGTATAGATAATTTAAATTTATACTTTAATACACTATGTATTAATATGCTACGAATTTAGATCAAATTTGTGTTCTAAATTGTAATCAAATCTGTCCAGCCATTTTAGTGTAAAGAACAAACACACACACACACAAATATACTATAGCTTGTAACAGTACCCTTAGTACAGTAGTAGTCATTTGTTGCTCGATCATTTTCTTAAATTAAAAGGCAGAATTACTGTTCGTTACTTTTGGTGTTTGTTTTGTTCTTTTATTTTGTTGCTTTCAATTGCACAGATTTAAGAAGTTGTGTTTGAATTATTAAATTAATTTTAGACGCAACTAAAAAATTATTGAATATGTGGACGAGGCACGGCAAACAAAATTTTCGCCTGTCTCATGGTTCTAAACACTGGATAATGCTGTCTGAGCCCGAAGACATTAAGGTAAAATTATAATATAATAACCAACCTTCTTATTCTTATTATCATTCGTTAAATATATGCTCTTTTAAAATTAATATTTATGTAAATACTAAATATGCATACATTTACCTGTTCAAAATTTTTTTAACATTCTTGTATGTAAATTATGATAATATATTATAAACAATTTTATGTTTTAACAGTAATATTGTATTTTAATTTGACGACACGTTTGGCTCAGTCTGTAGTGACCCTACATGCTGTTTCAGCGGTCGCGGGTTTGAGTCCCGCTGGGGGCATTCATTTGTGTGATGAGCACGAATGTTTGTACTCAGTCCTGGGTGTTTATATTTATAATATGTATGTATTTAAACTTATATATGTGTAGTGTATCAACTATCTGGTATCCATAACACAGGCCTCGTAACTTACCATGGAACTAGATGGTGTTGTGTTAATATCCCAACATATTTAATACTTTCTTAGATTTACGCGAATATTTGATATAATATTTATTTATCCCAACATATTTATTTATATTTATAATATTATTAAAATTTGTATTATTGAAATTTGTTCGTGATTTTTTATTAATTTACGAACAATTAAGTATTTCATTTTGTGTCAAATGGGCAGGTTCATTTTTTAGTCAGTACAGGTAACAATGTGATGCGAGGCAAGGGGGCTTGACATCCCCTCGTCTCTTCAACCTTTATATGAACACTTATTGAAGGATTCAGGGGTACGAATGTCGTATGGCACATAGATGGCGTTTGTATTAACAATATCAGCTACGTAGATGATATGTTGCTCCTGAGCCCTTCAATCGGGACCGCCATACCGCAAGTTTTTCTTAATACAATATCTCTGAAAATTGTCAAAAAATTTAAGTAATTGGGCCACTAAGTTCACATCAGGCGGCGGCCGGTCTTAAAACTTATGCCAAATCCTATCAGCAGTACAGAAGATGTACTGCGCCGACCACAAGTGATTGGGAAATGGGCAGGGAGAAGAAGGGCCACTGGGCCACTGACGATCACAAAGATAATATTGATGTTGAGTGCGAACGCAGATCGTTGGCTATCTGATCTAATAGGTTACCTCGTATATTCGCACGCTATACTGACAACGTCAAGATCACGCTGTTTAAGGCGTATTGTCGAACCTTTTATACCTTTTTTGTTTTAACGTTGGGAAATGCATTTACGCAAGAGGTGTGGGACTCACTGGCAAAGCCAGTACTACCCACTAAAACCCAACAAAGGTTTCCCCCATCTTAATGGGGCGTCGCAGGATCGCATAGCAGACCACAACAACCACGGGGTTGCTCCAAGGTCCACTCTGCTATCAGAGAAGTACCAGGAGCAACCCGCATGGTACACTGCCCTCCGAAGAGGGCCGCCTCACACCGCCTACCAAAGTGGGCCACCTACCTGTGCGTTTCTTGGCTTCGCGCCCGGTTGGATTGCCGGGCACTACTGAGCAACCATGACAAGGTGAACGCACGTTGGGGGGGGGGGGAGAACCTTATATACCTGCAGCTTGTGGGCTAACTATACGCAGATGACATACAACGACCTGCGCGTCCAATATACCAACCAATGCATTTAGGGTGCTGATAGTTCGTCACGATATTGTAGTGTATCAGGCATGTTTGCTGAAGCTCGTACTGACCGTTTTAGTACAATCATGCGAAGTTATATTGTGCCTCCATGCGCATGTGTAACAGTACCAATGGCATCCTAAGGGCATTAGCAGAACGCTGGGACTCACCAATGCTTGGACGCTGGATGTGACTGCACACAGTCAAGTAGCCACCCTAAAGTATAGGCGAGAAACTATTTATTAGATATAAATATGTTTTATTATTTAATTGAATTGTGTTCATAAATAGATATATGCAACTATTTACTGTGGATAATAATTGATCTGAAATAAATATTTATTATTAATATTATTATTATTATTAATTTTTTTATATCAAAAAATATTACTTTCAAGCATAATAATGAAGACTTAGAATTAACATATTAGTCATTAAAAATATTAAATCGGCAGCAATTTTTGAGTTTCTTGAATCAGTGTACCGTGCATTGTTTAGAAAAAAATATATTCAAGTATAATAACAATTTTTTATACTCTTTTTTATATTTTTAATAATATAAACATTTACACGCATGCATAAATATTACACGTGTTCATATGTGAGAAATTTCAAATATAAAGCACTCTTTATAACATCGCATTATCACTTTTCTCGAATCTCAAAATAAATTATTTTATGGTCAAACTAAACACACATTTTGTTCGAAGAGTCTACCTCACGACAGCTCTTAACAAATTTCAGACTTTACTCAACGATACCACAGAACTAGCGAAACCCTTGGAAAGAAATGCGGCGATGACACCATTCTTTGGCAAATCTGTATCGACTTCTGAAGGTAAAAATCGAACATGTTCATCAAAAAGAGAAATCAGACTCTTTCCTGTTTTCCATCCCTTTTGAACTTTAATTTTGTAACTATTATTAGTTTGATGTAAGGCGTCCACCCATTTTTTTATTTTTCATTTGAGCTCAACACTGTATTCCATATTCATATGAGACGTCTAATTCCAAATTTTAGCGGACATGATGAAATTATAAAGGTTCTTCCGGTTATGCTTTTTGGTTTGTGAAACCTAAACAGCAAATTTATTTTAAAAAGGATAAGAAATTTTGCTTATGCAGTTTTTACTTATTACTTTAGATATTAATATTTTTTTGTTTGGAATTTCAACATTAGATATAGTATCTTTTTTTTATACAAAATACTTTGCAAAGTCAGTGAGTAATAGTTGTCAAATGTTATGAAAAACCAAATATGTTATTATGAATGTTTGCTATTACAACAATGTGCAATAAGCGGTCAGCGGTGTTCAGTGGCAGACAAGCAAAGCTTGCGTTATCGCGTTATGTTGCGGTGCGCCGCTAACACCTTTCCGAAATATGTTATTTTATCACAAATTAAGATAATATGAAATAGGGTATGCAGGTAAATTACCATATTTCATAATATGATCTATAAAAAATACCATCTCATCATCCTACTAATGAAAATACTACTTTAATAAAAAAAAACTGTTTATGCTAATATATTATTCTCTTACATATCTATAAATACAGATATATATGTAAATATAATAGTATTCGTTTGTGCTAAACCACTAATCATTGAAAGTTCTGTAGGCTTTGACAATTTGAATTATATGTATAAATGAAACTCACCACTAGATGGTGTATCGATAGTTGATATCACATCTACAATTTCAACACGCACCGTTCAAATCAACCAATTGCCATTAAACAATTTTCATACATATATATTTGATATTTCTTTAAATAAGTAGAATATTACGGGTTGCAGTAAAACTTTAGTAAATTTTATAGAATAATACGTATAACACTACTAAATATTTCAGGGCAAAGATGGCAGTTTATTCGAAAACTGATCACACCATGTTTTCACTTTAAATCTTTACACCGGACGCCTGAGGACGTAAGTGACAACATCAACCAGCTCTTTGATATTTTAGACACTTATATCGACAAAGGTCCGGTGGATATGTATAAATATTTCAGGCCTTACATGCTCGATATATTAAGCAGTAAGTTTGTGTTCTTTAACAACATGACTATTATAATAAATATATCTAAATAATGTATTTAATAGCTTTGTTTAAATATATTCTAAATTTCAGATAGTCTTTTTGGTATTGAAAGTGAATTTCTCAAAAACCCTGAACACTCTTATCTAAAAGCAAGTGGAAAGTAAGTATATGATAAGTAAATTACATAACATAACAAAATTACTTAAGAATTTTTTTATATGATGGTATTTTTTTGGAAAGGAGTTTAAATTAATATAAAGGCAAATTTATACAAAATTATTATGAATTCTCTTTGAATGTATACTTTCACTACTGTTTAATATTATTTCAACTAGCGAAGAACAAAAACAAACCTATCCTATGGGAACGTACATTTTTCCGTGATAAAAAGTAGTCTATGTGTTATTTCAGACTATAATCAACGTCTGTGCCAAATTTCATCCAGATCCGTTCAGCCGTTCTGGCGTGAAAAAGTTCACAAACTTTCACATTTAAGATACTAGCAGGCTCACCCTTGCTTCGCTCGGGTTCGCCTCTAGGATAACAAAAACTAACCTATTCCACGGGAACTGTACATTTTTCTACTTTTACTAAGATATCACGTTTGTCCTCAATACCATAAATATTTTCTATTTAAATTGTATTACTTGATGCTTTAGAGTACTCTTTATCTATTTTTAGGGTCATAAGGATTATAACATATAATTTCTTCTCGTATTGGAGAAATATTTATTTTTTATTTAGAATGACTTCCATGTATACGGAAATGATGGATACCATTAAAGAGATAAAAAGACATAGCTCAGATGTACGTATCAAATATTATTAACATAGACTCGTAAGAACATTTTTAAAAATTTAATAATTATTATTTGACATTTAACGCATCGTTTTAATATAAAGTATTATATGATCTGTGATAAAACTCATAACGTTTAATGATTTGTATATGTAGAATCTTGAGCTGATAATAAAATATTTTTTTAGATAATTACAAACAGAAGAAATGAGTTAAACAAAATGATAGAGAAATATAAAAATGATAATAATAATATTGATATAAATTATGACACTTTTATTGAAAATAAACTTTCTGGAAGCAATTTCTTAGACAGACTTCTATTGACTAAGGCACCTAACGGCGAACTATTGACGGATGATATCATCAATGAAGAAATAAGATTAATTTTGTTTTCTGTAAGTGCCATATCATTGTTTTTTTTATGATGCTATAATATTACAAACACGATATTATCCAATAAATAATATCTAATTATTATACATAAATATCTTATTACATATTTATTAATACGTTTTAGGGACATTACACAACATCAATGACAATGAGTCATACAATGTATTTCTTGGCAAAATATCCGGAAATACAAAAGAAAGTTCTAGAAGAACAGATGTCAATATTTGGAAAAGATTCTTATGATCAAGCAACAATCCAACAATTAAATCAAATGAAATACCTTGAAGCGGTAATTAAGGAAAGCATACGTAAGATTCCAACAATTGCAAGAATTGGAAGGCGACTGAAAAACGATATGACGTTTCAAGGTATAATATATTTGGACAATATATAAATAGAATGACTTATTTTAAAGTGTTGTTCTTATTATAAATATATTTAAAATAACAACTCCACTTCCATCACAGCTTACGTAGTATAGTTTATCTTTCATTCAGCCTTTTTTAACGTCCCACTGCTGGGCACAGGCCTTCCTTAAATGCGAGAGGGAATAGGTCCACGCTGACCTAGTTCGGATTGGCGGACTTCACGTGTCTTTAAAAACTTGCTTAATTTTATCAGACATGTTGGTCTCCTCCCGATATTTTCCTTTACCGTAAGACCAGTGAAGAACCAGATACGAGATCTGGGATATGAATTCGCTTTACTTGTTTTCCCAAGCAAGCGCGTTACCACTGGGCCACGGTAATGTTATACATACATTACCGTGACTGGGCTATAACTGTCTTTCAAGTTTTTTTATTTTTAATGCTCTAATAATGATCACAGAAATATTATCACATTTTAGATGGTCGAGTCGCCCCTGCGGGAACTACTGTAATAGTTTTCTATGACGGCGTGTTTAGAAATCCGAATATTTTTGAAGAACCAGAAAAATTTAAGCCCGAGCGATTTGTAGACCCAATGCACACGTTTGCTTTTGTTCCTTTTAGCGCTGGTCCGAGGAACTGCGTAGGTGAGTATATTTCAATTAAAGTTATTCTTAACCGAAAGTAGATGAAAAATAATTAATAAATTTAATTATATAATAATTGTATTACGAGTATAACGAAATACACTTAAAATATGTTCAAAATATTTAGGTTTTTTTTATTAGGAAGTAGAAGTAAACAGTTTTAAAAGAATTTTATATGTGTGTCTGTTTGCATCATCCAAGAAACAGATGGGTGTATTTTGAAAGCCCTTTTTTTCAGAAGTTCCTATTAAAATCATAAAAATACTAAAAATAGTTACAATTAAATTAACGTAATGAAATAAAACATACACTCGTAACAAAATCAGAAGTTGGTAAAAATTACTTTAAACTATAAGCATTTATTTTTTTCAGCTTTTAGATATGCCTGGGTGATAATGAAGGTGACTTTATCTAAGATTATAAGAAGATACGAGATTCTCCCCGGTGGTCCCGGTACAGAGCCAAAGTTTGCTAATCGAGTAATAACAGAGTCTACAAATGGAATTCAGCTTCGATTAAAAAAGCGAAATCTGTTGTAGACATAAGTGATAATAAAATTTTATCTACCCATAAAAAATAATATAAAATTAATTATATTAGACATAGAATTATTAGTTATATATACAACTAATATATGAAAATTCGTATTATTTTTTGTAACTCATTCTATCCTACGAGTGTGACTCCGTTAAAACTATGATTTGAATGTTATATCAGTTTTGATCTCAATTTCTATTAAATATATCTATTTTATATTTTACGACTGGAGAAGAATATAAATTGGATTTATATATTAACGAATCTTAATTTTATCACGTACTATTATTTATAAGTATTTATGTAATATATAATATTCTTTATGTACCTACAAACAAGTAAGGAAAGTAAAATTAACATATTAAAATAATAAAAACTAAAAAATGTATTAAGAATATTTTATTTTTTCCTTTAATGAGAGTTAAAAAGATAACACGTTGCTCAACGGAGAGAATAAAGTAGGGCGAATTATTCTATTTTTCTAGTAAATAGGTTATATTCTATTAGATACAAGTTCAAAAATAAACATGCCCACATAAACCTATATATAAAAGCACTACCTATAAATACATACGAGTATAACTCAAATTACATTTTACAACATTTAAGTATCATTTAATTTTTCTGACTTTTGCATTAACTTCGCTCGTTCTTTATATGAGTGGGCGATACAAATTACGAGTACGTACATAATAAATTATATTAGATTTATAATATTTAACTAGTTACTAGCAAGTTTATTTCATCTACATTAAGTTTAGCTTTATTTAGTTTGTGCTGTAAAAGCTTTGTAAATAAATATAATTTAAAGGTAGTATAAAAGAAGATATAGAGGTAAAATAGTAGAGTTTTACCTACCATTAAAACTCATATTATGTCCGGAGCCTTATTCGAGACCTAACAGTAAATTCTGCCTGGTGTTATTTAAGTTAGATATAAGTAGCTAATTGAGACCATAATGAAGAGGAACTCCAATGGGCGATTGCAATCACCTGGTGAACATGGCGGCCGGAAGTTGTCATATTTTCTTAAATTTAAGGGAACTACAACGGCTAAAAGCGGCCGGAAACGGAAGATGTCATCTCAATATTGTTTATTAGGCCTCGAATAACGGCGGAAGGACATAATAAATAAATGTATACATATTTTTTCGCCTTGTATTTATCCCATGCTACCTATGTAAGATCGGCACACCATGTTATCTTTTTCTATTTTCGTCTAATAGCCACCAACTATCAGTAAACATAATATGTGTTAGTAAAGTTCACTCGCATATTATGTTTCACAAAATCTATCCATATTTTCCTCGGTCTACCTCTACTCCTATATACTTCCATGTCGCTATCTACAACTGTCTTACTTGTTTAACGTTTTACTTTAATTCCTCCACAGTTTCCTACCAGTTTTTTTCTTACCTATTATTACTCAGCTTCTTTGTCACTGATGCTACTTTCAAAGTTCCACTAATAAGTATTAATTAATAATTTTGCTCCGACTAGTAATTTCATACATTCTTCTCACATATTACAATCTCTCTTTAATTAATTATAGATTACTGGCCTGCTTCCCATTACAAACTTTCATCCCAATTTTTACCCCCTTAAAGAATGGTTTCCGAGATAAAAAGTCCTCCTCATCATCCCACGTCCTTCCAAGGATCTCAAACTATCTTCTTACTAAATTTCATCTTAATCGGTTCAGTAGATCCAGAGATTACCCCCTACAACCTCACAAACCCACAAACTACCTCTTTATAATATTAGTATAGATTACGTACCTACTTTCATTACGGAACCCATGAGTGCTTGTAATATCACCTAGGATTAATTTATGCAAGGATAAAATATCCTGCTTCATTACTGCTATGTGTGGATAATTCTTTATTGCGAAAAATAGGACTAAATCATCAGGCTAAGAAATATTATAAGGGGTTGTAAATAGCAATAAAAAAAATATAGGTTCAACGTTCTGTAGTTATTCGGAGAAAGTGACAAGCTAGCGCTTTTATTACCCGACTGTTCTTTTATTCGTCATGACAGAGCGAATGGTATAGAAAGTATAAAAGTTTGGAAAAATCAAAATGGCTGATTTTGGACGCGATAATTTAAAAAAGAAAAAAATGAAAATTGACTATATCAAGTAAGGTATCGTTGTATAGGTATTTAAAAATAATTTTTAGGTTCATTTTAAATAACAGCTTAGGATAGGATATATATATATATATATATATACGAGTATGTACTCGTACATCTCGCGGCAAGGATGAAACGTGTAAGTCTCCAACTGCATAATACTATATTCCTTCGTGAACTTGTTTTAATCTTTTTAATTAGCTTTTATGCAGTCGGTTTTTTTTATTTATATAATTTTATGTACAGTGAATATATGGCGATAAAACCCAAAAGGCTACTGAGCGTAATAAGCAATAAGATAGCAAAGGCACAGCTCACTGCTCAGTAATTTTTAGTTAGGTATTCGGCAGAATGTAATAGTACCGAAGGTAGTGTTTAAAGGTTAAATTTCTTTTGTGTAATTACTGTGTGGAGGTTCATATAGGTAAAGGAACTAAGAGATAGCTAACCGGCAGATAGGTACGGGCTCGGAATGTAAGTGATCTTATTTGGTGCCAGTTACGTTGTACGCGATTGAGGCGCTCCATGTTCTCCGTGCGCGTGTTGCGAATCGGCAATGTTTACCTGCTTGCCTAATTATTACTACAATCTATTTCTCTTATAACATGTTGGCTTTAATTTGATATTTTTTTGCCTGAGTTTGTTTATTTCATGAATACTAGAGATTAATCTTTGCTTCGCTCGGGGACGGTCGTATATTATAAATACGGTATATATAAGACTAGGTGTCTTTTGTGTTTATAATATACAGGTGTCACACCACCTTTAAATATTTTTATTACTAACTGTATGTTACTCCAGGTTATTATAATAGTCCATCTATATACTTTTCATACAAATTCGTCGTTTAAGCATGAAGGCGCAACCAACATACTTAAATACATGCACGCACGTACAAACTTTAGTGAGATTTTGCTACGAATAATATATTTGTTAAGCTTCAAGTTAATTTATAAAACATATATAGGTACTATACTCTATAAAAGTGCATTTGTTGTTTTTTTTTATAATAGCTGATATCAAAGGATGTTATGAAAGAAATATAACAAAAACGAAGAAATATAAGTACAAAGTATTAATTTATACTTCCTCGCGTGTCGTGGAAATAATGAACACTTCTAAATGGAATGGTATTTTGGTGGTGAACTAAATATTTATATATTATCAGAATATGAATATAATATTATTTACAAAAAAGAAAATTACAAATATACTTAATTATATATACAAAACATATGTACACTCTGTTATTACTGTACAAGTCATGTCCGCGTGGAATAGTGGCAAGAATGCTAGCCGCATTCCCCCGTTGAATGGCAATGCCGATTCTTTGGGCGAAAAATGCGCCAGCCCTCCTGTCACCAGTAGAGGTTAACTAAAATATTCATCCATATATCCACATAGACGTTAATTGAAAATGTTTATTTATATATGAAACATTACAATTATCATCAGAATATTATTAGATTGACGTTACAAAAGTAAATAATGTAAAAGACGCCAAATTGAGTGCATATTAAATTGAATCTTTATATATATAATTCTTCTGTGAGTGTGTATGTCACTGAACTTCTCTCAAACGACTGGACCGATTTTGATGAAATTTTTTGTGTGTGTTCAAGGGGATCTGGGAATAGTTTAGATTCACAATTTGAATAATAATTTTCATCAAAAAAATTATTAAAAAAAGGTTGAAATTTTCAAATTAAAGACGTGTAGACAGGACAACGTCGGTCGGGTCCGCTAGTAAATATATAAAATACTGCATTTTCCTTAAAGTCAAAAGAGTAAAATAATGAAAATATTATATTATAATGAAATTCGCCTTAATTTGTGGAGCGGAGCGTTTATTTTTTTAGGTTTCTGAATAAATACAAAGATATAAAGCCTTTCCCGGCAGATCGGTGTATTCCTTACTGAATCAAAAATTTCATATCAAATAATAATTACAAATCTGAGTATCGGGTACAATCAAATAAAAATGTGGAAACTGCGAGTCTGGGTCGAGCAACAAGTATTCCGTACTAGCACACTATTTTTTACACATTGAGTTTATTAATAATATTTTTATAACAATATTTATAATTAGTTAATTAATTTATTCTATAAAAAATTAATAAAATAAAAAAAAATATTCTACGAATGTCTACATGATAAATTTCTTCGTATAATTTTAACATTTATTGATTTATGTTGACACCTAGATAATTATCCATTTATTGCATCGCATTTTTCTTTTTATCGGTTAGCTGTTATTTAGAAATAAATTTTCTGAATGGCATTCTCATATCTTTGATGAATGTTGTATAATATAATACATACATAAATTTTATTAACACGTTCTCGCGTTAACGTTAACGTGGGTTTATATGGAAATGAAACCACGCCATCTGATGATAAAAGAGACATCATTTTCTCTCTTAACCTTATGGGCCAATTTCACCAAATTAATTTTAATCGATTTTAAGTAGGTAATATGAGTTTACAATTAAAAATTCCGTTTGAATATTTCATATTCGTGTTACATATTGTCAATACACAAAAACATTGATAAATCAAATAGGTAATCCTGAAGGGACTACAATAGACCAAGTATGGTTTATTAAGATGATCACGACGTGGCATGAGCTTATAGATATAACTAGATAAACCTTTCCAACTTTTTTTTCTCAATTCAACTGCGCCGAGCCAATATTCCTGGTTATAATAATAGGCAGACATGAAGAAATTGTACGTATTTCTTTTATTATTTTGGCTACGGAACCCTAAAAAGTAGTATAAATAGAAAAAAACGTAAGAAGTTATACTTCTTTGGCGTAACAGAACAAAAATAGCTAAAGATTTCATCCCTTATGTCACAACTCTCT